AACTCATCATATTTTTTGCATTTTAGATAGGATTTATTCAGCAAAATTTAAGGGTGACGTCATCAATTTTTTTAGGAGGGATGAACAAATACATTTTGAACAAAAGTTTACCATGCTTATAATAACTTTAAAATATTCCCAAGATTTCAAAGCATTCGGTTTTGTAATTCCTGATTAAATCGATAAAATAAATTCACGCCTTCATTAATTTTTTTGAGTCACCCTGCATATGCAAATCCAAAAATATGAATGGAATGATAAATCACAAGTACAGACTCATCATATTTTGTACATTTTAGATACGATTTATTCGGCAAACTTTTGAGCTGACGTCATCAGTTTTTTGTAGAAGATAACCAAATATATTTTGACTAAAAATTTATTATGCTCTTTATAACCTTACAACATCTGCAAGATTTCAAAGCATTCGGTTTTGTAGTTCCTGATTAAATCAATAAAATAAATTTACGCATTCATTAATTTTTTTGAGTCACCCTGTATATGCAAATCGAAAAAATTTGAATGGAATGATAAATCACAAGAAGAGACTCACCATATTTTGTACATTTTAGATAGGATTTATTCAGCAAAATTTTGTGGTGACATCATAAATTTTTTAGGGGGGACGACCAAATACGTTTTGATAAAAAATTTACCATGCTTATGATAATTTTAAAATATCTTCAAGATTTCGAAGCATTCGGTTTTGTAGTTCCTGAGTAAATCAGTAAAATAAATTTACGCTTTCATTTATTTTCTTGAATCACCCTGTATATGCAAATCCAAAAAATATGAATGGAGTGATAGATCACAAGTACAGACTGATCATATTTTGTACATTTTAGATATGATTTATTCGGCAAATTTTCGAGCTGACGTCATCAAGTTTTTGGAGGGGATAAGCAAATATATTTTGACTAAATATTTATTATGCTCTTTATAACCTTAAAACATCTGCAAGATGTCAGAGCATTCCGTTTTGTAGTTCCTGATTAAATCAATAAAATATATTTACGCATTCATTAATTTTTTTGAGTCACTCTGTATATGCAAATCCAAAAAATATTAATGGAGTGATAAATGACAAGTCCAGGCTCATCATATTTTGTACATTTTAGATATAATTTATTCGGCAAACTTTCGAGCTGACGTCATCAAATTTTTGGAGGGGATAAGCAAATATATTTTGACTAAACATTTATTATGCTCTTTATGACCTTAAAACATCTGCAAGATTTCAGAGCATTCGGTTTTGTAGTTCCTGATTAAATCAATAAAATATATTTACGCATTCATTAATTTTTTTGAGTCACCCTGTATATGCAAATCCAAAAAATATGAATGGAGTGATAGATCACAAGTACAGACTCATCATATTTTGTACATTTTAGATATGATTTATTCCACAAACTTTTGAGCTGACGTCATCAAGTTTTTGGAGGGGATAAGCAAATATTTTTTGACTAAAGATTTATGATGCTCTTTATAGCCTTAAAACATCTGCAACATTTCAAAGCATTCTGGTTAGCAGATTAAAAATTAAATTTCAAAATGTTGTTTTATAATTTTGATTTTTTTTCCAAAAATCTGGACGTTTCGGGTGAAAAGTCGATTCAGAGTTGTAAACTACATGTGTAGGACTATGTTATTTTGTACAATTGAAAACCCATTTACTATGTACAATTTTGAAGTGACGTCATCGCATTAGTGGTGGGGATGATTAGACAAATTTTGGTTAGCGTTTTACCATCTACATGATAGTCTTAATATAAGTACAAAATTTCACAACAATCGGTCGAGTACTTTCGGAGATTATCTGTCTAATAAAAATCCGGGACGGCAGACGGACAGACGGACGGACAGACGGACGGACAGACGGACAGACGGACAGACAGACGGAAATGGGAGACCTATTTCTTCGTCTTCTAGGGGTCATGAAAGATCGAGAAAACGTAAAAGTAGAGAGTCGGCCGACGGACTCGATTACAATACTTCCTTTGCTTACGCTCGGGAAGTAAAAATATGAGTGAAATGATAAATTACATGAAGAGACTCATCATATTTTGTACATTTTAGATAGGATTATTATTCGGCAAAATTTTGAGTTGTCGTCATCAATTTTTTGGAGGGGATAAGCAAATATATTTTTACTAAAAATTTATTATGCTCTTTATAACCTTAAAACATTTGCAAGATTTCAAAGGATTCGGTTCTGTAATTCCTGATTAAATCAATAAAATAAATATACCCATTCATTAATTTTTTGGGTCAGCCTGTATATACAAATCCAAAAAATATGAATGGAATGATAATTCACAAGAAGAGACTCATCATATTTTGTACATTTTCGATAAGATTTATTCAGCAAAATTTTGGGGTGGCGTCATCCACTTTTTAGGGGGGATGAGCAAATACATTTTGATCAAAAATTTCCAAGATTTCAAAGCATTCGGTTTTGTTGTTCCTGATTAAATCAATAAAATAAATTCACGCATTCATTAAATTTTTTGAGTCACCCTGTATATGCAAATCTAAAAAATATGATCGGAATGATAAATCACAAGTACAGACTCATCATATTTTGTACATTTTAGATACGATTTATTCGGCAAACTTTTGAGCTGACGTCATCAGTTTTTTGTAGAAGATAACCAAATATATTTTGACTAAAAATTTATTATGCTCTTTATAACCTTAAACGGGAGACCTATTTCTTCGTCTTCTAGGGGTCATGAAAGATCGAGAAAATGTAAAAGTAGAGAGTCGGCCGACGGACTAGATTACAATACTTCCTTTGCTTACGCTCGGGAAGTAAAAATGAACTGTTATGTCACATTTTATTCCATAGCCTACTATTAAACATGCAAAAAAATAAACTCAAACAAAGTGGTTGTTACCAATCTAGTGTTATTGGCCACTGCACGAATTTTTGGATGCAGTACAGCTGTGAATATATATTCTCTGTTTTAACCAGAATAGATCGCCCGGCGCATTGAATGACGCATCAAAGATTGGCAAACTTGGTTTTTCTGGCTTTTGAAAAGTACCGTACCAATTCTTTGAACTTCGACAGGTTTTTACGAAAATTTAATAGCGTAAAAAATCGATGTTTACAATTATTTTAATGTTCTTTCAAATGTAAAAACTGAGAAAAAACAAAGTAGTTATCTCAGTGTATTATTAAAATATATACATATATTTACATGAAGCCCCCTCTGTCGACAAATTTGCCCCCCCTGAATAAGTTCTCTAGCTACGGGCTGAGGCTGCCCCCTTCGGTAAACTATATTTTCTCTTGAAAGCGAAACGAATGAAAATTTACCCGAGGTTTGTCTTCTACTAATGCAAAAATTGACATTTATAATAAAATTTGACAAGCATTACAACTTTTTACGTTTTAAGTTGGATAGTGATATTCACTTCCATCTCATCGGTGAAAAGAGACAGGTAAGTGACATATGTTACTTTCCACGTTGGAGATGAAAGTGAAGTATAACTCGCTCACTTCCAAACTGACTGATTGTGATTATTATATTCTTACAGTAACATTTTACAGGACTTGTCCGTTATATTCTCGGCTTGAAAGGCAACACTCAAAATTTGATACTCACAGGGTAGTACTTGCTAGAACTATCTTAGAGAGCTATCCTGTAAGAAAATACGGGGCGGGTGGGCGGGGCTAATACTTGCTAAGAAAGACTGATTTTGCCCGTATTAAACTTGTGAAAATTGTTAAATTTAAACGAGTGAAATTCCTAAATTTGATTGGATATTTATTTTTTTACAACTCAGTCATTAAGTTTTCTGAGACACTTGTATAAGCAACTTAAAAAAATATTAATTATATATTGTAACGGAACTTAGTTTTGATTAAAAAAAAGAGTGGGCTGATGAAAAAAGGGTTGACAGATAGAAAATAGTATCTGAATGTTTAATTTTGTTGATGTAAATAAATGAATCATATTATAATATTAAAAATAAAGCACACGTATAGACTCATCATATTTTGCACATTTAAGATAAGATATATTCACAATATTTTGAGGTGACGTCATCAATTTTTTAGGGGGATGAGCAAATACATTTTCAGCAAAAATTTACCATACTTATGATACATTTAAAACTTCTTCAAAATTTCAAAGGATTCGGTTTTGCAGTTTTGCAGTAAAATAAATTCACGCGTTCATTAATTTTTTTGAGTCACCCTGTTTAAGCAAATTTAAAAGATATGAATGCAGTGAAAAACACACACTGATCATATTTTGCACATTTTAGATAGGATTTATCCGGCAAAATTTTGAGACGACGTCATCAATTTTTGGCGGGGATAAGCAAATATATTTTGATTAAAAATTTATTATGCTTACCATAAATTTAAAACATCTGCAAGATATCAAAGCATTCAGTTTGGCAGATTCAAAATTAAATTGCAAAATGTTATTTTATAATTTTAATTTTTTTCCAAAAATCTGGACGTTTTGGGCAAAAACTCAACACGGAGTCATAAAGTACATATGTTATTTTATACAGTTTAACACCCATTTACTCTGTACAATTTTCAAGTGACGTCATCACATTATTGGTAGGGATGATTAGAAAAATTTTGGTTAGTGTTTTACCATCAACATGATATTCCTAAATATAAATGCAAAATTTAACAACAATCGGCCCAGTACGTTCGGAGATTATCTGTCCAATAAAAATTAAGAGATCATACAGACGGACAGACGGACAGATAGACAGACAGATGGAAACGGGAGACCTATTTCTTCGTATTCCAGGGGTTATGAAAGATCGAGAAAAAGTAAAAGTAGAGAGTCGGTCGGCGGACTCGATTACAATACTTTCTTCGCTTGCGCTCGGGAGGTAAAAATAACACTATTATAAACTGGAAGTTAATCAAATTTACGTTACTGAATTTTTCCTTGGCTGCGTAAACATCGATTATCCAGTTGAGTGTTGTTCAAGACACTTAATGGTACTTTCTTGTACTTGAAACAATGTTTAACGATAATCATATACTAATAGCCTTCGTGGATACAAATAACGCTTCCTTTAATAACAGTTTTATAACAAAGTAGTATCGCCAAGCACAAAACACACAATAAAGGTTTTTCTAAAAATTGAAGTTTGTTTGTAAGTTGTATTTTACTACTGGATTTGAAAACTCATGACACTGATATAGTGGGTAAGCCAATTGAAGTTGAAAAAAGAGAAAATCCGACTAATGAAGAAATTGATTTGTTGCATCAGAAGTTCATTGAAGGACTGGTACGACTCTTTGAAAGATATAAAAACGAGTCTTTGGAAAATCCAAAGGAAGCCCTGTTAACAAAATAATTCATTCATAGTTTAATAAATATCTACTGATACGTACATGTTTCGTTGTCCCCTCTTGGACTAACCTACACACGGTCAAGTTAAATTGTGCTGTAAACTTGTTAACAACAAACAAAAGTAATGCAGTAATGCACTGGAATCGCTAGAAAAACTGTATTTGTCCAGCAGATAGTCGGAAAGGTACTCACCGGACACCATCGTCAAAAACACATAGAGTTCGCCCAAACAGGTAAGTACATAGTACCAAAATTCCTACCCACTTTACTTTTATCTTACAGAAAGTGAAAATACTAGATAAACTATACCCTCTAGTTTAAACCTCAGCTACGGACTTTTGGAAAAAGAGAAAATCGACATTTTTGGAACTGACCTAGATAATGGTAAATTACACTTCCGTAGTTCGTTAATAACACCCAATTGCAGATGCTCCAATTTTTGTCTTTGTATTTTTGTAGGGGTCTACACCTGGTGGGGTATTCAGCAGGTTCGCATTTAGTGGCACCACTGTACACAAATATTGGTAAAAATTTAAGCAACGAAGTGAAAAATTTTGTCAAAACAGCAATTCTGGTACTTCAATTAATGATCCCTTAAATTTAAGTAAAACTGACGCACTAGCTCTAAGCCTTCTTAAACAAAGTCTCGTTTCTGAAATTTCTACAACATTCTGTGTGGTATCAGCTGAGCGGATAGTCCAGAGTTTAGAAAGCAATCAAAACAGTTTCAAGACAAGTTAGAACATGCAGGTGTGAATTCATCTGCGGTCGTTGTACCAAAGGTTGACCTTTTTGATATAGTTGGGCTACTGTACAGTGAAAATTTTCAACTAACTAAGTCAATACTTGACTTAATAAAAAACACAAGTGTATAGATTACATTTAATTATAAAAAACACAAAAATTTACAAAATAAAAACCCTAGAGATTATGTTCTTTCTTCAAAGCAGCGACTTCGTTACACAACTCCGCCAATTCACTCATCAAAGTGTTATTTTTGTTATGTTTAACGCGCGGAATTGTATCTCATACGCTAGAACCAGTGCTGTCGCGGCGATAGTTTGATTACAAATATATTTTTCTTTTGGACTATTTTAACATAATATAACATTTCAAGATCACAAATCTGTGGTCCTGTGGTTGAAAAATTAAAAAAAGGCATCAAGTATTATTATTTGAAGTAATATAGTAATATAGAAGTATTTTTTTTTACTAGCTGTAAACACTCCTAGCGACGCATTGGCTACGACCTTGTGGACCAGATCAAGGCGTCCCCGCTAGTCGCCGTAAAACACACCTTACTTCAACTGGGGGATTGCAGCGGTGAAACAAATTCCCGCGTAATGGCTTATGTTCATGTTCCACCCCGGTAGGTCTCTCGTTTTCGTCTGTCTGTCTGTTTCTGCAGAGTGATTTTTCTGTAGGTATTCTCTAGCTGTGTGAGTGAGTTGTCGTTGTCACCCCTTGGTGCTTGCTACTCGGGACAGACCGCCTCCACCGCCCCCTCTTTACGCCGCCACAGGTCTGTAGCAAATGAAGCACCAAACCAGGTTTTTGATTATGTGATTTAGAACGACTATTCTCATTTTTATATTACATCCTAAAACAGTAACGTGCAATAAATATATTTCCTCATGTTATTTTCTATAAGTCCTATCTCATCTGAAACTAAAGTTGTTGTTTGATGTGTGAGTATCATGTAAGTTTGAGCTACACAAACTATCCTAGGTTTACCTGAATTTTCCACTTCTCAATGTCCCTTAGGAGGGACAATCATTGACGTGCTGGAAAATGATTTTGTCACTACTTGATGGTAGTGTGGCTATCGGGCCGACGGGTACTTAATGGTATTGTCTTGTATTTGTTCAACGATTACTATTACTATTAACGTCTGTAGATACAATTAATGCATGCTTCTGATAACCAGTCTTTATTAAAGCGGTAATTTATTTAAATAATTCACTCCGCTATTGTTTACAAAACTAAAAGCAAGTACAACTTCAAGTAAAGAACACTCAAACAAGCATAATTTAAAAATTAAAACTACTCCTTTAAACAAATCGTTAAAATTACAACTTTTAGATGATTTGTATACTTCCGACTTTGTCTGAACGACAACTTCAAACATTATCAACCTCGGTATGTTTTTCAATCCTCGTCTTCGCTACTCCAATCGGCTGGACGCTCTTCTTCTTTCTACTAACAACACGTTTTTGGTGGCTAGCAATACTTTATTCCTTCTGGTTGTACCATGACCGCACAACCCCAGAAACCGGAGGACGTTCCAACGACTGGATACAAAGCTGGAAATGCTGCTGGTACTACAAAAACTATTTCCCCGCAAACCTAATCAAACCAGAATCAACACTAAATCCACAACAAAATTATCTCTTCTCGTGCTTTCCTCATGGAATCTTACCCACAGGCCCCTTCCACAACATCTCGGCCCGTTCAAGTGAGTTTCGACACCTGTACCCCAAGTTCAAGGCCCACATGGCAATTCTACACTGGCTTTTTTATACTCCGTTCTTGAGAGACTTAGGACTAGCTTTGGGATTAGTATCGTGTTCTGCCAAGTCAGTCAGTTACGTCTTAAGTAGACCAGAAGGTGGCCAAATTGTTCTTCTTAACCCAGGAGGTGCTACAGAAACTTTCAACGCTGGTCAAGAACAATATAAATTTTTTGTAAAAACCCGGAAAGGCTTCGTCAAGATAGCGCTAGAAAATGGTGCCGCGCTAGTACCGGTCATCACGTTTGGCGAAAATGAACTCTTTCGACAGTTTCAAAATGATAAATTACGACGGGTACAGGAGTTTGTGAAAAAACCGTTTGGATTTGTGCCTGCATTATTTTATGGACGAGGGTTCACTGAGAATTCATTCGGAATAGTACCATTGAGCAGGCCTTTGAAGACTGTATGTAAGGTTTTTTATTACTGGACACTTATGCAAACTTGTGATGTACTCTTGTATAGTAGGTACTCCAATAGAAGTTGGAAAAAGAGAAAATCCAACCACTGAAGAAATTGATTTGGTGCATCAAAAATTCCTTGAAGAATTGGTACGACTTTTTGAAACGCACAAAAACGAGTTTATGGAAAATCCACAGGAGGCGTTATTGTTAGAATAACTCACCCACAGTTTAAATGTAATTTGAACTTTTATAAGGGATTTTAGTTCGTTTCAATCCGTTTGTTGTTTATTTGTTTAAATATTTTCTGTCAAGCTAAATGTGAATGAGTGAAATATATCCAGCATTTTTGAGTTGAGTTTCTACTTTACACAATTTTGTGAGTCATCAACATTTTTGCAAGGACACGTATATCAACTTGGATTGGTGCGGTGTAATACTAAAAATAACAGTATTGTATTCCCAAAATTTTCTGGGAAAATGGAGTGAACCGTTCCTGATTTAATCAACAAAATAAATTGATAGAACCATTAATTTTTTTGGGCTATAAGCAAATCTAAAAAATATGAATGCAATAATAAATCACAAGTAAAAACTCATCCTATTTTGCATATTTCGAGTAGATTAGAGGAATTTAACTCGTTAGTATGGAAATTTGCAATTTAACACCTTTAAATTTCACAAGTTTATCTTTATTGCCCAACAGAATTTCCATTTAGAGGAGAAATTAAATTAAAATAACAACACAAGAATTAACAAAATAATAAAAATAATAATATGATAAAAAAGTAAACTAAATAAAACAATAATGTGATACTTTTCAAGCAGATTTAAACAAAGTGAATAATGCAATTAATTAAGATTTCCTAAAAATGAATAAATAAATTGTAATGCAAATTACCTTATGAACAAAAGACAAAACAACTACTTACCAATATTTCATTAAATAAGATTAATTGGTTCCAAGAAATATATCGTCATAGAATTTGTCGGCATATCGACACATATTAATAATTGGCGCCTTTCGTAACAAGTTAGTTTTGGGTGTTGGTAAATAAAACGTTGCTGAATGTCTTGAGGATATGGGGGAACATAAATATTAACGTTCGAAAGAAGATTCACACAGTCAATTTCATTATGAATAAGTTTTTGCATAAATCGAGCATTTAAGTACTTTCGTCTTTCAAGCAAGGATTTAAAATTATGTTCTTGGAGCAATGCATCATAGCTGATATTCCTCTCAGGGTATACACCATGAATTTTGAACGAAATATACTTGAGAAAACGGCGCTGAATTCTTTCAATATCTAACTGTTTATTCAAATAATAAGGTTGCCAGACAATGCATGCATACTCTAGTTTACTTACAACTAAGGCAAAATACAATACCTTAAGTAGCATTATGTTTCTGATATTAGCAGAAACACGCATAATAAAGCGTAAGGTTTTAGAAGCAGCGGAAGTAATGCTGTCATTGTGTTCACAAAAACTTAAATTCGAATCAAATAGTACCCCAAGATCTTTTATCTTATTAACAGAGTTTAGTACAACACCATCAATGTTATACAAAGATTAAAAATAATTTACCTTACGAGTATATCTAACAAAGTTACATTTATTCCGATTAAGTTTCAGACCGTTTTGAGTACACCATACACTAATTTTGTCCAAATTCAATTGTAACTCTTTGGCATCTTCAAGATCCATGACACGAGAGAAAATTTTAAGGTCATCAGCAAAGGCAAGCGTGTTGCAATTTAAACTTGAAATCAGGTCATCAATATATAATACGAATAACAAATTTGAACCTTCAGGCATCTCAGAAGTTGATACATCTTCATTGGATTTAAAACCATTATAGAAGACGTAGTTTATTCTTTGCGAAAGAAATAAATCAATCAGTCTAATGAAAGATGTCGCAAAACCAAACGTACTGAGTTTATTCAATAATATCTTGTGATCAACCGTGTCAAAAGCGAAACTGAAGTCGCTATATATAACGTCTGTTTGACCTCCTCAATCCAGTTCTTCAGAAATAAACTGTGTAATAGTTATCAGATTGGTTGAGGTGGATCTACGTGGCATGAAACCATGCTGATTTGGAGAGATATACCGATACGTCCCGTTGAAAATAGCTCTATAAATAATTCTCTCAAATTTCTTAGCAAAATTTGCTAGGATCACTATGGGTCGATAGTTTTTGAGATGTGTGTTGTTTTCCTTTTTGTGGGCTGGAACAATATTTGCGCATTTCCAAAAAGTTGGAAATGTTGACGAAGATATAGCTAGATTGATGATATGTAATAGCGGTTTTGCTAAAGCAAATAGAGCATCATGTACCTATGAGGAAGCTTGGGATTTGGTCATCTCCAGCTGTATACTTTAGTGGAAAACGAGCCATGATTTGGATCGATTCATCTTCAGTTACGGATTGGAGGTCGAAACAAATGCGATTGGTATCCACATCTTCATAATCCACATTAGACCCAGAAGTAAATATACCAGAAAAAGAGGAGGCAAATGCATTAACAATTTCTTGCGGTGACTCATATGCTAGATTCTCATGGTGCATTATTCCAGGTATTCGCGTTATTCCTTTCTTCATCTGAACATACTTCTACTGTTCAATCTTACTCATGTAGGTACTGTACGCAAGGGATATCTGTGATTTACAATAGCTACGCAATCTTTTAAATTAATTACGGTGAACTACGCTACCAGAGACACCATTTTCTTCGGCACTTATGCTTAAGTTTTAAATTATAGATAATATCAGGCGTGAACCATGGAGGAAAAGTGTAGCGATTTTTGGTATAAAATGGGACTGAACATTTAAGAGTAGAATACAGAAGATCATAAAAAGTTTTAACAGCCTGATTCACTTGCATCAGTGCAATTTCTTTCATGCCTATAATTCGTCGTCTCTCAAAGGGGGTTAATTTAAGGTAAGTTGGATTTCTTCGCCTTCGAGGAATTGCCTACACTTTTCTCACTCGAAACCACAATAACCGATTAACTGACTATACCCAGAATCTTCAAAATAAGCAACGCCAAACAATTGTCGCTTGTTAAAAAAAAACAAACAAAAGATAGGCATTTCTGCTTGTCACCAATTTTGATACTCAGTTAAGTGTACAGTGGCCTTTCTTTCACATCACATACAAAAAAAAGTACTCCTTTGGGTGTTGTGGTTTTTTTGAAATGTAGTGTAGTTATTTGAAGTTTGAATCAGATGAGAACAAAAAAGTTTTCTCGGGCCGACGTACAAACAAGGTTTTTAGTCGACCATATAGAAAAATCATTGGTTATGTAAGTGATTCTGAAGTTTAAAAAATATTTTTCGTCGTTGAAGTACTGTGGATTTGATAAAGTGCTCCCGTACTAAGAAAAAAAAATTGATACCGTCATCCTTCATAACGATATTCAGTAAAGGTGATTTAAATAACAGAGCTTTTGGCTCAAGTTTATTTTACTTGAAGGTACTAGTCTGTACTGTGATAGATATTAATGTATGTACCAAGGGAGTTAGAAGGATGATAATGCCGTGATGGCCAACGCGGATCCAGCCCGAGGGCTCCGCCCGAGGGATGCATGTGGCCGATGGGCATTATCATCTGCTAACTTCCGAGGTGCATTCAGTATTTTATATTTCACGAAAAATTGCAAATTAATTCAAAATTTAGACATTCTTTTGGTGAAAATAAGGTAGCCTTGAGGTTGCTAAGCACGTTATTTACAATTACGACATTTGGAGTTCGCGTGGTTCCAAACGAACAAAACGATGAATTTTGAGTTTTCTGAAAAATTAGCGACAAAAGCCGAAAAAGCTAAGGATTCTTTACTACCTTTAAAGTCCAGGCAAACGTACGAGAAAGAATTTAAAACTTTTAACGAGTGGAAACGTTAAAATTCTCTTGATGGCATAAACGAAACTGTGATGATGGCTTACTTTCAAGACCTGGTGAGTTAGTATCGTTTAAATATATGTTTACTAATAATGGTCCTTTTTTATATAGTCTGAAAAATACAGCCCTAATTTCTTGTGGGCAAAGTATTCGTACTTGAAAGCGACTTTCCTGATATATGAAAAAAGTCGGAGGGATATTCTCCCAAAAAATCGCAAGTCTTGACAGGGGAACAAGTTTTAACGTTCATAAGAGATGCGCCTAACGAAACGCATCTTTTGAACAAGGTATGCAAAAGATTTATTTGACAACGTTTTCTCAAAATATGTTGTTTCAGGTGATTCTAGTAATGGGCGTTGTTGGATGTATGATTGTTACTCATACATACTTACCGAAAAAGATTGATATAAAATGAAACACAAACATGTGCTGTGTAACACTGTATTTACTTGTTGTTGACGGTTCGAAGTCTATGTACAAAGTGGTTAAAATCGGAAGCGATACATTGCAGGTAAAAGAGAAAGTTGGGGACGCTTGTTGACAAGGGTTGCGGTTGGTAGGTAAAACCGAAACCCGAACATGGTCCGGCGCCTTGAAAGAACTAACTTTCAACATGACAATAAGTTTAAACTGCAAATATCACTACATAATAAGTACCTATTTACATAATGGGTGCATACAGCACTTTGACAAAAGGGAATATAAAACACACTCGTATATACAAAAAACAAATAGATTTAAACACCTTTGTTTATGGTTCGGTCGGAAGCACACATAGTTTAACCACTGGTCGTTTAGTCATACCATTCGCGGTTTTCACTGTCACTACCCGAATGAGGCCATCTTGACCGGGATAAACTGTAGTGACGCGTCCCATCTTCCATGCAAGCGGGGGTGTGTGGTCTTCCTTAATGACCACCAAATCGTCCACCTTTATGTTGTTGTGGCTGGCCTTGGTCCATTTTGGGCGATTTTGAAGTTGGCCCAGATATTCTGCTGACCACCGTTTCCAGAATTGCTGCTGAGTGCGACTGACTTGTTGCCACCTGGAGAGCCGGTTCGTTGGGAGCGTGGTGACGTTGTCCTCTGGAACAGCAGTTAGAGGGGTTCCAACGAGGAAGTGGCCGGGGGTTAAAGGAGTCAGATCATTTGGGTCATTGGATATAGGGGTTAACGGACGCGAATTTAAGCATGCTTCAACTTGGATTAGCAACGTCTGCATTTCTTCGAAATTAAACAAAGCTGTACCAATAACGCGTTTCAATTGATTTTTCGCAGATTTGACTGCCGCTTCCCAGATACCCCCCATATGTGGCGCGGAAGGCGGAATAAAATGAAAATTGATCTGCTCAGTTGTCAAGTATTTTATTATGTAATTACGGTCATTCCGCGAACTGAGAAGTCGTTGCATCTCATTTTTTGCGCCGACGAAAGTTGTCCCGTTGTCAGAGAAGATGTCGTTGGGTTTTCCTCGTCGACCAACGAATCTTTTCAGAGCTTGTAAGAAACTTTCGGTGGTACAGTCTGACACGAGTTCCAAATGCACCGCTTTTGTTGCCATGCATATGAAGACTGCTATATAGGCTTTCGATATTTTTGGCCTTCCTCTACCGCGATTTAAATTGATGTTGATTGGGCCGCAATAATCTAAACCCGTTTTAGAAAATGGTCTACTGGGCTCTATTCTATAGCTCGGTAAGTTACCCATTCGTTCGCTACATGGCTGTGGTTTTAGTCTGTAACAGCGCATACATTTTTGGATTATTTTTCTGACCACATTGCGGCCTGTAAGGACCCAAAATTTTTCCCGTAATATCGCTAGCGTGGCCTGGGGGATCGCGTGTAAGTGACTTAAATGGATGTGAGAAATGATTAACATTGTCACATGATGGTTTCTCGGTAGCAAATATGGATGTTTTTTATAATCTGAAATAGTGGTAGCCAAATTTAAGCGTCCGCCTACTCTTAAGATTCCGTCTTTGTCTAAAAACGGATTCAAACATAGAAGCTTACTGCTCGGTTTTAATGGCAAATTGTTTGATAATGTTCTTATTTCTTCGTCAAATTCGGTTGATTGTATGTGGCGTAAAATGATTGTTAAAGCTAGATCAAGTTCTGAGCATGATAATGGCCCGTAGTTTTGATTATTTTTATTCCCGATATTAGTTACAAATCGATTTAGATAAGCTATTGAGCGTTGTAATTTAATAAAATCAGAAAACTGTTTTAAGTATTCCCATTCAGGAAGTGTGTTTACTAAGAGTGAGGTAGTCTGCTTTTGTTCTGGTAAATCTACTTTGCTGACCGGTTCTTGTATGGGCCAAAATTCGTTTGTGTATGAAAGAAATGAAGGCCCGTGGAACCAAAAATCGTTGTTTAATAATTTGTTGGCTGTTGTGCCTCGCGATATTATGTCGGCAGGATTACTAATAGACGGTACGTACCACCATTCTTCTATACTGCTAAGATTTTGAATTTCAGCCACTCTGTTGGCTACGAATGTTTTCAGTGAGCTAGAAGGGGATGAAATCCACGCTAACGCGATTTTAGAGTCGGTCCAGAAGTACTTATTTTGAATCGGAACTTTTATTGTTTTAAGTACCGCATCGCATAGTTGACATACTAGTAGAGCCGCACACAATTCAAGGCGGGGCAATGGTGTCGCCTTCAAGGGGGCAACGCGACTTTTTGCACAAAGTAAGTTAACATTAACTTGACCATTTTTCTTAATGCAACGTACATAAATAGCTCCGCCATACGCCTTAATGGAGGCGTCAGAAAAACAGTGCAATTCGACACTGGCATCCGTTTCAAATATGAACCTAGGAATTGTAATTTCATTCGCCATTTTTAAATCATTCAGCCAATTTTTCCAGGAGGAATAAATTGATAATGGCACAGTTTCATCCCAACTAAGTTTTAAATTCCATATTTCCTGCAAAAGTATTTTAGCTAGAACTGTTACTGGCCCTAGTAAGCCTAAAGGATCGTAAAGTTTAGATGAGACCGATAAAATTTTTCCTTTAGAAACTTTACCCGTAGTTGAAAGATTGTCGATTGAATATTTGAACGCATCTTTTTGAGTGTCCCACACTAAACCAAGGGTTTTCGATTCATTGTCCACCTGGTCAAATTTTACAACAGACATTTTCGGTGTTTCTTGTGGTACAATATTAGGATTATTGGAAGCCCATTTGGCTAAAGTGAAACGTCCTTGGGAAAGCACTTGCGTTAATTGGTCACGAAGTTCCATTGTTTCCCCTACGGTGGAACTCCCGCAGAGTACATCGTCGACGTAAAAATTGTCTTTTGATTATTTCGGCAGCTTTTGGAAATGTTGATTCCACTTGATCCGCCAATACTCTTAGACATTTGATCGCAGCATAGGGAGCTGACGACATCCCGTATGTGACCGTATTAAGTTCGTACACTTGCATCGGTTGTGTGGGATCATCCCGCCACAAAATTCTTTGATATCGTCTGTCTTCGGGATGAATTAAAATTTGACGGTACATCTTGCAAATGTCCGCTGTAAAGGCAAACCTATACGTTCTAAATCGAATTATTAAATCAAAAATGTCGTTTTGTACTTTTGGGCCTGTACTCAGACAAGCATTTATGCTTTTTCCGAATGATGGTTTGGCTGACCCGTCAAATACTACGCGAATCTTATCAGTGGCCCCGTCATTTTTGAAAACCGCGTGGTGAGGCAAGAGGTAATAGGGTTCACTTTCGATTCTATGCTCTGTCAATGGACCTAGTAAACGCATATGACCCAAATTAATGTATTCTTTCATAAAATCGTGATAATTTATTTTTAACATGACATTTTTTGCGAACTTTCGTTCCAATGTGTTGAACCGTTTGAGCGCGATTTCTGTCGGATTCCCCAAGTTTGGTAAAAATTCGTTAAATGTTAATCTGACTTGAAATCGTCCGATAATTGAGTGGCATTGTTAATAAAATAGTTCTCATGTTGTATTTCAAGAGCTGTGAGCGGCTTATCATCGTTTGAATAACTTTCAAGTTTCCAGAACTTTTCAACCTGGTTTTCTAAATTGACATTATTGACCGCGCAATGTAGATTTTGACGAGTGTTACTGGTGGGGCATCCATGCAATGGCCCTCCTACAATCCAACCTAATAAAGTTTTTTGTAATATTAAGCCATGTCCTATCGTTTGAATTTGACCTACACATAACAGTTGCCAAAATAATCCAGCTCCGATTAGCAGATCGATTGGCTGTGACAAATTGAAATTAGGATCGGCAAGTTTTACCGCTTCAGGTATGTCCAGCTCATTTTTGGAAAAGGTACGGACAGGTATGTTCTTCGAAATTTTTGGGATTACCAGACAATTTAAAGCTGTTGTAAATGAGTAATGCAACGACTCGATCTGTACCTGAACCTTTTGTCTAGCGGTCGTATTTGAACATTGAATACCTGCTACGACCACATTTGCATTTTCTGTACTTAAACCCAATTTGTTAGTGGCGGCTTCAGTAATAAAATGCGATTCTGAACCCACGTCTAACAAAGCCCGGAATTTTTGAAATTTGTTTTTACAATCCTTTATTACAATTATTGCTGTAGACAAAACGGCTTGTGGAAAAAGGGCGGATGAGCAATAAACTCCGCTGGTACTAGGCTGGTTTTCGTTTGAATGGGAGGGTTGGTCACTATGTAAAAGTGTATTATGTTTCAATTGGCATAATTTACATGACATAGATTTACAGCTATCGGACGTATGCGATGGTTTGAGACAATTTTGACATAATTTCAACCTATCTACCTGAGACCTTCTTTCCGAAACACTGAGTTTTGAAAAGGTAACACAGTTGTAAATTAAATGAGATTTTTTACAAAAATAACAAGTGGATTGTGTACTATTGCGATTTACTGCCGCTGTAAATGTAGACACCTTTTGTGTTTTAAATGTATTATAAAAAGGTAGCCATTCAGTATAAATTCCGCTAAACGGTTTAATAACATTCGGGAGCAACTGCACCGATGGTGACGGTGTGCTCGTAGGTGCGTTACCTTGCGGTGCAGGTGAAGATGTGTTAACGCGTTTTTGTTCAATAGCATCTTCGACATCTGCACATAAATCGTAATACGCGTTTTCAAAATAAAGTCTTGTGGTAGCTTGTTCTAAATCGGGGGTGGCTTCATCAAGAGCTTCAATCTGAGAATGGATTTTGTCAAACTGAGCCTTAATACGTACAAAATCGCGCAATCTTACTCTTAGTCGAGAAGCGGATGTACTTAGATTGTTTGTTTCAAACCACAACTTGAAACGCGATATTTCGTCGTGAATGCGATCTCTTTTTAAGAATAAAATTTGTAAATTTCCTGCATCCTCTGGTGTAGGATTTGAGTCCGAAAATGTTTCGGCATTGTCGTCACCTTCCGCGCCTGCCATGTGTGGAGCATCGAAAGTTTGCGAACGCGTCATAACACTCATAACCATTTGAAAAACCGCTTAGTTGAAATACGTAAAACTGGTACAGTTCGGGCAAGGTAAATGGTACTTGCCAATGAAATTTAAATAAAATGACGTACAATTACGGTCGAATGCGTGCTTGACCGGAAATAGATAAAGAAAAGGAATAGTTGGAACCCACTCACCGCAATAAGGCCCTCTGGCACCTGGGACGGCTAGACTGATTCGCTGCTCTCCTGTCCGGTTGGGAATTTCCAATGGCTGGATCCCGTCTCCCGATGCAGGCGTCGAAAATTGCCAAAACCGTAATAAGATCACCTGGAGCCTGGGTGAATTGACTGGATGGGCTGAATTCGCTGCTCTCCTGCTCGGTAGGGAACTCCGATGGCCGGTAGGTCACGTCTCCCGATACAGGCGTCGAAAATTACCAAAAACGTGATAAGGTCTCTTGGAACCTTGGATGAAACGACTGGATGGGCTGGATTCGCTGCTCTCCTGTCCGGTAGGGAACTCCGATGGCCGGTAGATCACGTCTCCCGATACAGGCGTCGAAAAATGGCACCACCGCGTTTTATTGTTGAATTCACAGCACTGGATCACACATGTGGAGAGATCCGGCTCGAAGGACCAATGTTGGATGTATGATTGTTACTCATACATACGTACCGAAAAAGATTGATATAAAATGAAACACAAACATGTGCTGTGTAACACTGTATTTACTTGTTGTTGACGGTTCGAAGTCTATGTACAAAGTGGTTAAAATCGGAAGCGATACATTGCAGGTAAAAGAGAAAGTTGGGGACGCTTGTTGACAAGGGTTGCGGTTGGTAGGTAAAACCGAAACCCGAACAGGCGTATTTGGTGCTTTAAGAAAAATTGAGATGGTGCAGCTCACTATCGAAAATGTTATTGATAAAGGAAGTGTTATATTATTGCAAATTCCAAAAAATAAAACCGATGAATCCAAGTCGTTGACTGTAATAGAAGACGAAGAATTGGGTGCGTTGCAGTTGGTTCGGAAGTATATTTGAAACTTTTTTGACTTTTGTACCTTCTGTTAGTTCTGTTGTACTTATTAATGCTGAATAAAATTGTTAATAATAATAGCCTGGTTATTATTGAGTTGTTAATGTGTCTGGTATCATAGCGATTATAAAGAAATAATAGATGAGTGAAATATAAAACTATTAGCTCTTTAATAGTGTCAGATTTCTATCATTTTAAGAAAAATATGTACACCTCTTTATGTGTTTTAGTCAAATCTTCCTTTGTTTATATTATCTTAATACTAAATATATAATGTTTATTATGTTAAAGTAAATATTTTACTTAAAAATTATAAAAATCTGACTTCATACAGCTTAATTAAAAGGAAAATACAAGTCACAATCACGTAGCCAAAATAAATAATTAAAATTAAATTGTTTGTCCGA